TAGGCCGTATTATCGGAATTTAATGTCAGAGGGGCAATATACAGCCGAGCGCTAAGCGGGAACGCGCGCGCACGTGAATGCGTAATTAATCCGAATAATGGAGCGGCGTGAGCCTTACTTAAGTTACGCGTAGGCTATTGCTTCACCCCCTTTTTCGGCCTTCTCTCTTTTCGGTAGTGGCGACAGCAACCTGCACATCATTTTTCCTTTTTGTCCTTATCCCCCATCCTCTTTTTATTCGGGCTAATAGAAAATCCCTTGATCTTACCGGCTTTTTTCTTGCTCAAGTGTGACTTCAGATAATTACATTATGACAATTTGAAGAATAATGATTACAAGGATTGCAATTGCTAATTTTATTGATTTTTTCTGGTATCTTCAATTGATGTTATTAATGTTTGATTATACAATGGTACAAATGAAAACGATTGAACTGTAAGATGAAAAGATATGAAACTCATAAAAACTGAAATATCAGAAATGTGTCACCTGAAACAATGTGAAGAGGGAAAATCTACAATTTCAATTGAAAGTTCATAATAGTTGCTAATTAATCCAGCAATTTCTTTGGCTCATTTTCGTAAGACCTGAGTTACCCTTTCGTCGGCTAAAGAGTTGTCGGAAGCCTTGAAGAGTTACGGTTCGCCGGTCTCGTCACCCCATTCACTGGTGGGGCTTACCTCCTCTCGTTTGTTTCGTAATCTTTAAGATCGCGCCTATACATAGAAGGGGTTGAGAAAACCCTTCCTCAACGAATAACTTGCCACGAGCAGTAAGTCTTATCTTAACGCGTTTATACTGAAAACCTGATAAACATCAAGGTGTTTTTCATTTTCATCAATTTTTAAACTTTAAAATAAACTCAACTATTAAAGTTTTAACGTGAAATAAGAGTCAATATTACAGCGTCCGATTAAATGCTTAGATAACTCAATTGAAATACAACGTATTATTTTACACTGGAACTAAAATAATTGATTATCCTAATTTGCTAAATGCACGCTTGAATTGAATGAGATTCAATTGAAGAAGAAAACGCATAAAAACAAGCTATTGATTTAAAGCGGTATCGCTGAAAAGAAAGAAAGCGAAGACAAAGCAAAGCTTGGTGATTAAATATTATGACCGTCTTAGAGATTGTCGTCAGCAGCCATGCCGATCTACCCCTTTTTTCTCTCTCTCTCACTCACACTCTTTTCCCGGTTTTAGACCAGAGAGACCTTACTTAGCATAATTAAAGGATAACGTCAGAGGATTTGCGCTCTAGGGAGGAAAGCCCGAGCCGCGATTTATTTTGTCGTTCGGAATTTACAAGTTTTTCGGAAGACTTTTTACACTGTTGTAAAGAAATTTGCCGAGGATTAGATGTTTCTTTCGATACTTGTTTAAATTTTAACAATTTGGCTTTATTTGAAACTTTATAACGTGATTTACATCTATTAAAACTATTAGCAATTGTTAACGTATTTTCCATCCTTCAGCGAAAGCTTTGTTTGCGTAAAAAAATGTTGCTTGAAATTGTTATAGAAACATATATTGAGGTTCTAGGATACATTTAAAGAAATGTCTATATGTGTGCATGCGATATGGGCAAAAATCTTCAAACAAACTATAGCAAGTTATTGTTTTTGAGATTGTCGAAACAGGGTCAAAACAAATACTATTGTGTGTTGGAATGCTATGCGTTGTGTCTACGAGAAAATCGGACACCCCTAAGTTAAATCAGAAGAATCTGTCCGGTTGCTTCACCGACCCAGCGCACAGCCCCGCTAATTAAAAGCTCTGTCTTTATAGGTGAATTACCTATAAAGCGAAAATTCTCTTACGATAGTTAGCATCTATCGACATTCCTTTTCAGTATTACTTTGCTGGGCCCTGTTCGCATGCCGTTTTCAGTTGTTTCTTTTTTTTTCATTTCTCTCTCCCTTTCTTCTTTGGTCTTGATTGTTTACCTGATAAAAGCAGATATCGCGTCCCATTTCTTTTGTGATGTGAACATGGTTGTTGCGAGGTTATCTCTCAATAGTTAAGTTTAACTTGTTTCCGCTATGAGCTCTCGTTTGTCAAGAGATTAGTAAGGGCATCCCTAGCTAGTAGAGTTGAACCCATTCTTAACATCCAGTGCAGAAAAACCGCCTCGGAAACCTTTTATTCCACTTTTCTTAAACCATTTCTTCCCAAGCCGCCATTTTATAGTCGATTAATTTTTTTCCGAGGAAAACATTAAAATAATTGAAAATGTATACTAAAGTCAATTTTCTATTGTAAAATTTTCGGCTCTTTAAGAATCTGTCAGAAATGGGATATTTTCCACGGAAAATTACAAAATAGCGTCTTGAATATTGATTAAAATCAATATTACATTAAAATTTTTTCCTCAGAAATTTGCAGTCAATATTTATAGAACCATGATGAAAATCTAAATTTATATTGAAAATGTTAAATCTTTGATAAATTTAGGCATTACAAATTTTCCTGGAAAATTGTTCCAAGATGGTGGCCGTGGAAATATTGAAAAGTTAGAAACTATAAAATGTAAAAAAAAAGCCAAATCAGTGAGTGTACAGTACTACATATATTTTCGACGTCGCTGAGTACAACGGTAGTTTTCATTTTCAATTTTATAAAATGGAGGATTCAATATGGCGTTGGTAAGACCAAAATGGTGAACACCAGTGAGTGAGTATTCAATTCCCATGTTTTCGATATCGCTGAATAAATTGCTAATGTCCATTTTTAATTTTACAACATCGCGGATCGAATATGGCGTCAGTAGTACCAAAATCAGATAATGTTAATAAATCGCGAATAAAATTACTAAATTTTTTCTTGATTTTTTATACGTTTTTGTAATATTTTCCAAAATAATTGGTGCAATAGTGGAAGAAATTATTCATCTGTTTTTGTAAGATGGTAAGGGCTAAAACAACTTGCACATAGATACTCTTGACATTGTTCGCAATAAATATTCGTACATTTCTTGCAGTTATTGCTAGCTTTGCATAATCTCTGTAAAGATTTCGTAGATTAATTGTGAATATGATGACACTTTCTGAAACGTAGAAATGATTTTTACACTCATAGCAATAAAATATTGTTCTTACGATATACTTTATACATACTCGTCTACGATCAAGTATTGTGAATTTCAAATGCTTTGATAAGTTTTCAATCACTTCTTCATAGGAGTAGGCTACTGCATTAGTGAACGTTGAAGTTTCATCTATACTTCTCCGTTATCATCGAGACCTACGTCACTATTGTCATCGTCGGGTACCCATATAACTTTATAATCATTTTCATCTTCATCACTATGTTACGTTTTGATATAATTTTTCCAGTTTTATGAAACTTTCAGAAAGCGAATCTGATAAATATTTATCTTGAAAAAATACTCTGCAAATGAAGAAGCTCGCCAGTTATCTCTAAAAGGACTATTAGAGAGGCAGCCGAAGAAAAAAGTGAATATGCTTGTTTTGTCTTGAAAGGTTCACCTCTGAAATGCCGTAAGTGGCATTCCAGCAAATTTTTATTGAAAAGAATTAAAAGGAAATGATTTTAATTAAACAACTCAATTTCGCGTGACCTGACCCTTAAATCTACAAATGAATCAACCTTTAAGATTTTGATTCAAAACTGGTCCCTGCGGTTTGTTAATGTAGCACTGGTAACAAATAAACAACACTATTTTTGTGGGAAAAAAGCCTTTCGGCATAAAAAAACCCAATTTATTAAAATGATACAGATTGGATAAATTCGGATGAATTTGAATGTAAGGATGATAGAGTGATGCCGCACATAGTGACACGCACAAAGGTCGCAATTATTTTCGCACGGTACTATCACGTGTTCACATAAATTTTACGCGTGCGCGCGCGGATGGTTTTTGCACACACATTCACACACTAAATAAATGTTGCTGGTAATATCAATGGTATCACACAAAGATGATTATAGAGAGAGAAATGAAGTTAGCTTGATAGCGGTGATATCATACAAAATGAAAACAAGATTGACAAGACTTATGAGATTAGCTTGATATCGGTGATATCATACAAAGGTAATAGTAGACAAAGGAAAGGGTTCGTGGATTACTATCTGTAATCACCGCGTGGCAAGGGCCACTTATTTGTTTGTTATAAATAATAAACACTAGAGTTGCGCAATACGTTGTTTTGCGTCTTTGGTATTGTTAATCGTTGACGATTTTAATTATCACGATCACAAAATGAACCGGATTGCGTTGAATTTTCACGGATGCAAACGAAGGTAGAAATTCGCGATCGCCCTCTACGCAAAGGCTGCTCGAGCTATACTAACTACGTGCTCGCGGTTAAATTGGCGCGAACTATCTAAAAACCGCGAAAACATGCGCAGTTGGTGGCGCCATCTCCCGCAGTTCTCACTCAAGCTCGGCTCTCACGCTCACATATATACACACATGTGAGACGACGGAACATACTCCCGGCCGACGCTGCGAAATAGAAGTTAGACTTAACCTATGAAGCAGATTACGCTAATAATACAACGAAGTTATAGATAAATACAGAGGATTCTTAATTCAAAAATGACTAACGCAATTACATAACGATAACATATTTACAACTTAAGTTAGTTAGCAACTAGAATCTTTGGTTACTTGCGAACGGACTAGACAAGTAGCGACAAACAATTTCCGTTGGAGAGATTGTTTGATTGATTAGGTGAATCACATATCGGGATTAAGCCAGATTGAGCAAGGATAATGTCTTTATGACAAACGCACAGCTACCCTAAATACAATAATTGCACGATAGGATTCGAAGTCTCAACTTCCCCAGGATCCAATGTACCGGATTGGATATCACGAACCAGAAGTTACCCTTCTGGCCTTCTGGCTATAGAACTCTCTGAGTTCTACCATTCTCGGACCAGGCTTCATCGCTCTTCCAGAATACGCCGTAGCTCGACTCGATTATGGCAAGTCAAAGCGCGCACATCTGGGGCGTTCCTTTCATCGATCATACCCCCTGAAGTTGTTGAGACTTTGAAAGAGGCGGATCATCTTGAACCACCGGCAACACGCAGAGTCGAGTGATATTGCGTTTATATACGCCTGAGGAAGTCTTCACAGACGCAACCCGAGCGATGCTGTCACTCCCAGGAAAGACTTCGAGGACCACTCCCAGTGGCCATTTTGCGCAATGTGAGAGATCGTCCATGAGAAGGACGATCATTCCAGGTTGGAGTGTCGAGTTGGAGGTTTGCCATTTTTGCCGAATCTGAAGTTCGTGTAAATACTCCTTATGCCATTTGTTCCAGAAGTTCTGACGGGCCTTGATCATGAACTTGGAGGTGGAAAGACGATTATCTGGAACTGATAAAAGAGATTTTTCGGGTAAGACATTTATAGGTCTACCGATCAAAAGGTGAGCTGGAGTGACTGCTAAAGGATCATTCGGATCGGCGGAGAGAACACAAAGAGGTCGCGAGTTTAAGATCGCTTCAATTTTTATCAGAAAGGTTTCTAGTTGCTCATAAGTGAGCTGTTGATTTAGGACGCCCTTCAAATGATGTTTGAAGCTCTTAACGGCCGCTTCCCAAAGACCCCCATAATGTGGTGATAAAGGAGGGTTGAAATGCCACTCCACACGTTTCGCAATCCCATTTTCTCCAACTTGTTTGCGGAATTCCGGGCTTTCGAACAAATCGTAGAGTTCTTGAAGTTCACGATTTGCTCCCACAAAGTTGGTACCGTTGTCAGAATACATGTGACTAGGGAGACCTCGACGACATGTAAAACGATCAAAGGCATCTAAGAAACCTTGAGCGGATAAATCGAGCGCTAGTTCGATGTGAACGGCCTTTGATGCTAAGCATACGAAAACACAGCCATACACCTTGAGGAAGGACTTGTTACGATGAGCTTTCTCCTTGATGAGAAGTGGACCAAAGAAATCGACCCCTGTTCGATCAAAAGCAGGAGATTCTGAAACTCGAGGCTCCGGCAAATTTCCCATTTGCGCATGAGCTATCGGTGGTTTTTGACGAATGCAATCTACGCAACGTCGAATGACTCTTCTAACTTGATTTTTTCCATTCAAGATAAAAAATTTATTGCGAACAGCATAGAGAGTGGTTGAAATACCAGCGTGAAGATTGGAAAGGTGAGTCTGACGAATGATCAAGTCTGTAATATGATGGTTCTGAGGCAAAAGAATCGGATGCCTTTGATTGTATGGAAGCTGAGACTTGTTCAAACGTCCACCCACACGGATAACCTTATCGTCTCCTATGAAGGGAGCCAAGTTATCGAAACTAGTTCCCCGTTTGAAGGAATTAGAAGTTTGAGACAATTTACGAAGCTCATTGGGAAACCTTTCTTGTTGCATCGACTTAACGATGCTAATTTCGGAAGCCATAACTTCCGAAGGAAGAAGGGGACGAACTAACTGAAGAATTTTTTTTATTCTGATTGAAGATTCTTCTACGTCGGGAAACAATTGAGTTGTCTTACCTTGATCACGAGACCTTTGTCTCCATCGAAGAACATATGCTATTACTCTAGTCAATCGACCGTAGACGGAGAAACGTGAATAGATTTCGCTGAATGATGAATTTGATGTTGTCAACAGACACACTCCTTTCTTAAGACCAGGAAGCTCTTTAGGAGAAGTTTCAACGGATTTGGGCTATTCTTGTGAAGGCAGAGAAAGCCAAGATGGTCCTGAAGTCCAAAGTGAGTTATCTAGAAAGTCGGCTGGTAGTTGTCCTCTAGAAAGGGCGTCTGCAGGGTTGTCCTCTGAACGGACGTGTCTCCAGGAAACTTGTTCACCTAACGTTTGAATATCAGCAACCTTGTTGGATTCGAAAACTCTGAGGAGATGAGGAGCCCTTTTCAACCACGCGAGAACAATAGTGGAATCAGACCAGAATATTGTTTGATCAATTGGAAAATCGAATTGAGACTTAGCATCGACGTAAAGTTTTTTGAGAACCGAAGCAGCGCACAATTCCAATCGAGGGATTGTCACGCCGCTCAAGGAAGCGACTCGAGATTTACTACAAACTAAGCGAATTATCACGTTCTTTGAGGAGTCTACAGATTTCAAGAACAAGCAGGCACCATAACCGTAGTTGCAGGCATCACAGAAGCCATGAAGTTCAATCCTAGTTGGATTTGGAATTAAAAATTGACGAGGAAACGAGACCTGTTTCAGAGATGATGATTGAAGAACGAAGGATTTCCATTTGGTATGGATATCTTGAGGAAGCGATTCGTCCCAGCCAACCTTGGCCTTCCAGCAATCCTGAATCAAGGTTTTGGCAAACAATACGACTGGTCCTAATAAACCTAAAGGGTCAAATATCTTTGAGATTTCAGACAAAAGCTGTCTTTTGGTTGAAGTAGCTTGAAGGTCGATACAACTCACAGAATATTGCAGGATGTCCCTTTGAGAATCCCACACGATACCCAAAGTTTTCTGAATGGGATCTTCTCTGACAACACAGTCAAGATCGAACACCTTCTTGTCAATGGTATTCAAAGCAGATAGATGATTTGAAGCCCATTTTCGAATGATGAAACCTCCTCTACGCAACAAAGCTATCATTTCATCAAGAATTGCCAAAAGTTCTTCAAGAGTATTTGAACCAGAAATAAAGTCGTCTACATAAAAGTCACGAAAGAGTAATTTACTAGCTCTTGGAAAATCTCTGGCCTCGTCACGAGCAAGTTGTTGAATGGTGCGAATTGCAAGGAATGGAGCTGCAGCTACCCCAAAGGTAACTGTATTGAGTTGGAAAGTCTTGACCTCTCCTTCATGATACCAGAGAATCCTTTGGTATTTTCGATCATCGGGATGAATTAAAATCTGACGATACATCTTTTCGATGTCGGCAGTGATCACAAAGGAGTGAGTACGAAAACGAAGAACTTGTTCGAAAATAGTGTTTTGTATAGTTGGGCCTACCATGAGCGTATCATTGAGAGAAATGCCCGTAGAAGTTTTAAAAGAGGCGTCGAAAACAACTCTAACTTTAGTAGTCTCACTAGATTCCTTTACGACTGCATGATGGGGTAGAAAATAACCATCTTGGTTATCCTCACAAAGAGTCATGTGACCCAGAGAAATATACTCATCCATCACCTTGGAATACTCAACCTTCAGTGACGGATTCTTAGCAAATTTTGCTTGGAGGGAATCGAAACGTTTGAGAGCTTGAGACTTAGAATTACCTAAATCAAATTTGGAGTCTCTGAATGGGAGACGAACGATATAACGACCAGAAGAATCACGTTGGGTGTGAGTAATATAATGTTGTTCACATGCAACCTCATCACGAGATTTATTGGGCTCATGATCAAGATCTTCGATCAGCCAAAAACGTTCGATGAGCTTATCTAACTTAACCATGTGACAAGACGCAGAACTATAAGATGACTGGTCAATGCTCCCACCAGCTACAATCCATCCTAAACTTGTCTTTTGCAAAATGATCTCGGAATTTTCCCGTTGGAGTTTAATCTGACCAACGGCTAAAACTGATAAGGTGACACCGGATGATAGCAAAACATCAATGGACTTAGGTAAATGAAACTGAGGATCTGCTAGTTTTATGTTTTTGGGGATGTCGAAGAACTCACGTGGAAAAACGTCGTTAGGCACGGCTTCGGCAATCTTTGGAACTATTAAAAGTTGAATTTGTTGAATATAACGTATTTAGAGTGGATACTAGCTTGAATGTACCTTTGTGAAACAGTGCATAAACCATCAACTGCTCCAATGCTGACTGAACAGGGAAACTCAGACAAACGCAAAGATTTTGCAAAATTTTCGGTAATTAAATTTACAGTTGAACAAGAATCTAATAAAGCGCGTGCCACGACAAGATTACCACGATTGTTTTTGACCTTGACGACAGCTGTAGTCATCAATTGTGACTCTGAAGGAAAAACCACTGAAGCAAGTGTGCGTTGAACTAGTCAACTCGAATTATCGGTGGGAGTGGAGGATTTATTTCCATTTGGTTTGGACATACTAGTATTATGGAGAAGAGTGTGGTGCCTCTTGCCGCACTCTTTACAAGTTTTCGTGCTACCGCACGGGAATTTATGGGCCCAGAGACAATTGAAACAAAGCTTGTTATTCTTTGCGAAATCCCAGCGTAATTGAACGTCGAGAGATTTGAAAGATTCGCATTTGAAAAGTTGGTGCGAACCTTTACATTTGGGACACACCAGAGGAGTCCGAGCCGTTGATGTTGACGAAGTCGACGGCTGAGAGAGCGTGGTGGCGAAAGAAGTGGCAGTGGTTTTGGAGCTCTTTGAAGCTCGTTGAGGATTAGAAGCAGCGGGACGCTTTTTCGAGTTAGATTGATAATCATTGGATTCATCAAAGGCTTCTTGCTTGAAAATGGCTCTCTGGATGAATTTGAACAAAGAGTCCAACGATGGTAACTCATTGACATCTAACTTGTCATTCCAACGACCATAAAGATAAGGAGGGAGGCGTCTTTCAATACAACGAACCACCAGATCCTCGCCATAATTTACATCGAGGCGTTTGAGGACGTTAATATGTTGCCGAGCCGAATCGTACAATTCAGAAAGAGTGACCTCCTTTTGGTCCTTGTGCTTTCCGACTTGGAAGATCAAGCACGGCATTCAGATGCCGAGTGGCTACGATACGCTTGTGATCGTAAAAGTCGAGGAGAGCTCGCCACGCATTGAGATAATCTTCCGCATTCATCTCATACTCATCGATCTTAGCGCGGGCGCTGCCTATCACGCTCGTGAATAGGTAATGAGCCTTAGCATCATTGGAGAGTGCATTTTGATTGTGAACAAGAGCGGTAAATTGGCTCTTGAAAGAAGCCCACTTCGCGCGAGAACCGTCAAACTTTTCGAGATCAATCTCTGGAAGTCTCGCTCGTAATTGTTGTTCGCTTACAGTGATATTTGTGGCAGTCATAGTAGAATTAGCTAACGGGTTGGGTAACGGTCGTGGTTGGTGAGCGTCGTTGTACAGTTTGGTTACAATAGTAGCAGTGTCATAGTATCGAGTGGTCAGATTGTCAAATGAGGTTATGAGTTCATTTTCTGGGTCAATGTTAATCAGTTCGTCGATGAGATTCACCAGTTCGGTTTTTTTTGTCATCAAGTCAGTGAGTCGTAGATTGGCGTTAATAGCGTCTGGGTCAACAGTAACGTAAGCCGCTAGAGCATTCACTCCCCTTTCAAAGGTTTGGTATTTCGCTGCGATGAATTTCGCTCTAGCGATTTGAGGTGCGGCCGGAGCCATGACGAGAGATTTTTAATTTCTTTTAATGGCCGAAAGAAATAAATTACCGTCTCGAAAAACAACGAGTTATCGACAGGTGAACACGAGATTTAAGTAATTAACGAATAAATGAATTTCAGAAGGCGCGTTGATTCTTAGAAACTATGATTAAGTTAAAGGAATGGAATGATTAAAATACATAGAAGATAAAAAAAAAAGGGAGAGAACAAGAGTCTTATCTTAATTGGGATCCTGTCCCTCGATGCAGAGACCACTGGGCGGCGAGGCTTCCTTGGATGGGAGTGACAGCTGGACGTTGATAAGATGATTGCGTCCTTATTCAACGTAATCGGCGACTAGTTGACAGTGTTCAGAGCTAGCGTATTCGCCAGTTTTTTAGTCCAATAAAACACAGCACGAACCGCACAGTTACGCAATGTTCGGTACGCATGCGCGTGTCAACTTATGTGTGGATGACGTCACTTCCTAACAAAGGATGAGGTTATGTTCGACCTCACAGGAGGCACCATGTTTTGTCTTGAAAGGTTCACCTCTGAAATGCCGTAAGTGGCATTCCAGCAAATTTTTATTGAAAAGAATTAAAAGGAAATGATTTTAATTAAACAACTCAATTTCGCGTGACCTGACCCTTAAATCTACAAATGAATCAACCTTTAAGATTTTGATTCAAAACTGGTCCCTGCGGTTTGTTAATGTAGCACTGGTAACAAATAAACAACACTATTTTTGTGGGAAAAAAGCCTTTCGGCATAAAAAAACCCAATTTATTAAAATGATACAGATTGGATAAATTCGGATGAATTTGAATGTAAGGATGATAGAGTGATGCCGCACATAGTGACACGCACAAAGGTCGCAATTATTTTCGCACGATACTATCACGTGTTCACATAAATTTTACGCGTGCGCGCGCGGATGGTTTTTGCACACACATTCACACACTAAATAAATGTTGCTGGTAATATCAATGGTATCACACAAAGATGATTATAGAGAGAGAAATGAAGTTAGCTTGATAGCGGTGATATCATACAAAATGAAAACAAGATTGACAAGACTTATGAGATTAGCTTGATATCGGTGATATCATACAAAGGTAATAGTAGACAAAGGAAAGGGTTCGTGGATTACTATCTGTAATCACCGCGTGGCAAGGGCCACTTATTTGTTTGTTATAAATAATAAACACTAGAGTTGCGCAATACGTTGTTTTGCGTCTTTGGTATTGTTAATCGTTGACGATTTTAATTATCACGATCACAAAATGAACCGGATTGCGTTGAATTTTCACGGATGCAAACGAAGGTAGAAATTCGCGATCGCCCTCTACGCAAAGGCTGCTCGAGCTATACTAACTACGTGCTCGCGGTTAAATTGGCGCGAACTATCTAAAAACCGCGAAAACATGCGCAGTTGGTGGCGCCATCTCCCGCAGTTCTCACTCAAGCTCGGCTCTCACGCTGACATATATACACACATGTGAGACGACGGAACATGCTCTAACTATCTTGAAAAAGACAGTTAGAGAAATACACACTCTACATTACACCACAAGATGTAGGATTTATCTTACTGTAGGGAAAACGACTAGTTCTAAAGAATCCAGAAAAAATGTAGCAATTAGATTCACGATTTTAACAACATTAACTGATTTTAGTATTACTGACGCCATATTGGATCCGCGATTTTGTAAAATTGAAAATGAACACTACTATTATACTCAGCGACGTCAAAGATATGGGTAATGAGTATACACTCACTGATTCGACGTTTATTTTGAAAATTTTAGATTTTCTTACTTTTCAATATTACCACGTCCGCCATTTTGGAAAAATTTTCCAGGAAAATTTGTAATGCGTAGGTTTATCAAAGAAATAATATTTTTAATATAAATCTAGATTTTCATTCTGGTTCTATAAATTTCGACAGCAATTCGTGAAGAGTCGAAAGTTTCACAATAAAAAAGTGACTTTAGGTTATTGTTATTATTATACATTTTCAATTATTTTTATGTTTTTTTCGGTAAAAACAATTCGACTATAAAATGGCGGCTTGGGAGAAAAAAGGTTAAAGCATGTCGCGTATACACACCTTTACGGAAATCGAACTAGTTTAAAGAAATTCCATCGTTGCATTTTTCTTTATTGACTCTCTCCATCTGGTTGAGAAACAATCTTTCCAATGTAGTAACTCTATTGAGTTCATCATTCCTAGTGGTATGTATAACGAAGGGTTTGTCGCAATGCCTGTTATAAATACCGACGTTCCCTTTTTAGATATAATAGTTCCACAAACCACCGTAAGATTTTTTTGCCTGGAACGTTTGCTACTTCTTTCTTGCTTAGTTTACCCATCAGTATCTCGTAAGAAAGCTCCAAGAGTTTCGGTTTATCGAATTAATGAGCTTTTAACTCTCATTCCTGCTCATCTATATTTTTATCCGCAAGGTTCTTCTGGTTTGTTTATAGACCTTTTATGCTTCTACTGCATTTTTCTGGTTGAATCTCCTTTCTCGATAATGTACCCAGCACCGCTTATAGCACTATCTTCTTAGTTCAGTCAATTTATCATTCCATCAGTAAGTTTTTATGGTATTTTAAATGTCTGCGTGGCATATATGCATTACCATGCTTCTAATATGGTCTGTATACCGGTCTCTGTAACATATTCTGCTATTCAAGACTCGTTAATTTAAACTCATTGGCTTATTGACACGTTGATTCTTTATGTTGACGTGAAATTAAAACTGAACGTAAAATTACCAAGTATTAATGTGAAATTATGAAGATATAATGTTTTATATCATTATTATTTTTATTGTTTTTTTATTCAATAAAAATCAATTATTTAGAACCAGCACATATTCAAGGAGAAGCTAACTACCAACGGATTGACAACGTTTTTTTCAATTGTATATTGAAAATTCATAAGTTTAAAGATTATAGAAATATTTCAAGCTGCCGAAATATTCAACGCAGTCGACCAAAGAATAGTTTTTATAACCGATCATATATCTTTCTATGACAAATATAATAGTGGGTATAAAAATTCCATGAAAATATATGTTCTATTATCGTTTTCAAAGATTTTTCACATGTTCAATGTTATACAAAATGAGTTGAGTTATAAAATACATAATAGGTTGGCTAAAATTTTCATAAAAAATAAAAATAACACTAGATATTTTACATAGTTGCAAATTATTTTACTTCTACAGTATTCGCAAGATTTTAGTTTTAGTCAATGTACAAGCTTATTTCAAAAATGAAAATGTCGTTTATTAAATTGAATGATTTATTTTCTTATGAGTGAATAGATAGTGCAACACACATACAACTACGATTTTTCAAATGACTCACATTCACGATTGATTGCCTTTTGAGCATGCTTATTTAAGCAACACTTAATTACACTACGTTTATTATGTTCAGTTTACATTTAATTGCATAAAAATTTACATGATTCGTTCAAAAAAATCTGTAATCAAACTCACCGTTTGTTAGTGCAATAAGTGCAAGTGCCATAGAAACGAGCAAAAACGCTTTCATGATTATAATTTTATCTGCTACTACAAAGATCGTCTATACAAATAAAACTGAGACAGTTAAACGCTTTACTTGCTGTAAAACATGTTCTTATATATAATTTACTCGTTAAATTATAAACGGACAGTCAACACTTTTTTGAACGCGGCAAACCGAACACGCAATTATCGAAAGAGAAAACATAACTTGAAAGTGCAATTTTTATCTGGCTACTAATTCCAAGAGATAATTAGCTTCCGTTAAAATTCTCACAAGCTCCGGCTCGCATAAAATAGACACCTAGAAATTCTAATAAATTGTTTCAATCAGTATCGAAAAGTACGGTTTCAAACAAGAGCTGACACTGATCGCAGGCGCGACATAAAATCCCAAAGAACCCCTAGAAATAAAAAAACAGAAGAGAAAGCGAGGGTCAATTCGATCAGTGAAATAGCTACAGGCATCCGCCTCGTTATTTCAATAGAGCGTGCGCGGCTAGCGGAGCTTTGGTCGGAATCGTCATTGTCGCTGACCAAGTGGAAGTCGCTTGCTGCCGGAGGCGATTCCCGAGTTCCTAGTCATTTCCATTCAGCCCCTGCGAAGTGCCATCATTTCCCGAGGGAGCACACGCGCGTAGCGTCTCCAGCACGCAGGCAGCTGCGACACGCGACGCAACGCGCATATCCTATTCCCTTCGAGTCGTCTTGTAGCTTGTCCTTGATAATGAACCGTCTTCCAAGGTTCCGATCGACAGAATCGATTCGTACCACCTATAAAATGCAGTGTACAGCCAAGGTTCCCTATCAACAGCTTCGGCTGATAATTTTTAAAATTATTTTTTCAAACTATGTTTTTTCCCGTAATCTTGGAGCTACGTCAACACTCATACTCAATTGATGAACGTGGGCAATGCCATCAACGCGTTCGACGCACAACAGCGTATTATTCATGATGCTATGTAGTTCTACGTCAAGGCTCGTAGATTCGAGAAGAGGGAAAAGGAACAAGAGAAAGAGAAGCCTTAGCTGCCATAACTATCTCCATAGGAAATGTAATCGACAGAGAGAGAGAGAGAGAGAGAGAGAGAGAGAGAGAGAGAGAGAGAGAGAGAGAGAGAGAGTAAAAGTTCATCAGCCGTGGTCCGCGGGCTGGAACTAACTACTAATGCCGTGCAATTTTTTCCGTGATTTTACGTTCGCGAGTTATGGGCTCGTGCGCATTTGCATGGAAATGGGGTCGCGGAATCGAGCGTGTGCAAAATTCGCGTTTAAACAGCGTCAACTTCTTTCCTGCATATCACTTTATTTTTTTCCTTCTCTCTCTCTCTCTTCTCTCTCTCTCTCTCTCTCTCTCTCTCCTGTATCGTAATTTTATGTTGGGAATTTTTTCATTCACCAACTTTATAGCATAATTCACTGTTTTCAGCATTCGTACTTTTATGTTACAATAAAAATAAAATAAGTTATGATTTATTAT